AAAAGTTCTCAAATTAAACCACCTATTTTTTGTGATCTATAGAGTTCAGGCATGACAAAACATTCACTCCCAGCTAATTAAAAAAAAAAATCTGACTTGTGGAAGATAAAAGGCAGAGCAAAAACACTGCAGTTAAATAGCTTGAAAGTACATTAATATACATATCTTGGAATAAGCAGATGCTGCTGTAAGACTATGACACTAATATCTAACCTAGTAACTTGTTTAAAAGTACTCAGAACGTCCTTTTCTGAGTGAGTTTTTCCACAGCTAGATATAGATGAGTTAGTGCACTGAATGATGATGACATTGAATCTTAAACCTAAAATTTAATTTATTTTATTAAAATAAGATAATCAGAGGAACGTTCGCTTACAATAAATGCATTTTCTCAGGAGCAATAAAAACAAAATTAAAACCCAAATCAGCAAGAAAAACTGCATATGCTCAGTTTCCTCTTGATAGTGCATCTCTCTGACGACAGCTTCAGATGGGATGAAGACTATGCTCATTTTGCAGAAGTATACTGATAACGTTAATTAGCCTTTTCTCAGCCACAAAAGCCTGTCTTTCCGCACTTAACACCTCATTGGGCTGCAAGAAACAAGTCAATAGTACCAAAATAAGCTGCTTAAGTTACTGAAGATGACCATAGCAAGACTGGCTAGCTTTCTTCTCTGAGCAGTACAGTTTAGAATATATTCCATTCCTTTGCAAGAGTTTTTCTTCTATGTGCAAAACTATTGCAAAACTATTGTGTGTTGAATTAGCATTTTAACTTATCTCATTGGCTTGATGAAAGCTCTTAGGCAGGAGCTGATTTCCAGAAAGTTTTTTTTCCTCTTCCCTCAGTCCTGTTCGCAGATACCCATTTCAGGCAAAACTCCCCAACTTAAAGTGGCATATGGCGTGGAGCGATCAAAGAGCACCATAATGCATAATCTTTCCTCAAATGCAGAGTCAAGCCATCCTTGCTATAAAAATACCAATTTGTCAACAGATTCAAATCAATCCAGAAACACTGCCAAAGAAACATCCATCTCTTCCATGTATGGGAAAAATAAGGCTCAAGTGCATCTATTAAAAAAATAGTAATAGATCTCTTGATTATAGTCTGTTAACTCTATCCCAGTAAAAGAAATGGTAGAAAAAGGCAATGTGGAGCTACATCCCTGCAGGATAATCCTGCAGAAATCCTTAGCAGCTTGTTCTTAAAACTGGGATGCAGATAATCCTGCTGGCACTGATCCTGTACACTGAGGCATTAAAAAGCAACTTCCATTACTTCTGTTCCTTTCCCATTACTGGGGAGAACAAGGGAAGGAGAGCATGATCCTAAAAAACAGGTAGTCTTGTGGATGTTAATGTGCAAGAATTTATGTCCTCTGTGTGGGCTGCACGATGCAGAGATGGTTCGGAAGCACTCCGGTTGATTTTGGGTAACGAATGTTGCAACAATTCAATGGAAGACAGTATCTGAGGAAAACAAAAATGAAGAAAAGCTTTGTTAGAAGCAGCTACTTGAGAAGTCTTTTAGTCTTGAATCTTCATTTATTATGGCTTTAAGCATCTCTTAAGAGCAGCGGTACACTATTTGGAGGCATTTAAAACAATATTCCAGCAATATGCCAGTCTGAACAACCAAACCGTGCCACGTCATTGCTAAGGTGATTCTCATCTAGTTTTAGAGGATGGAGGAATACTTTTAATCTACAGCATGAGCGATTAGCAAACATCTATACTAGTCTCCAGGACAGTAACAGGGAAAGAATTGCATCCTCTGCCTAAAAGGCTGACTGTTTAGAAAACAAAATTTAGAGAGAACCTTTTAAAGAACAAAAAAGTTATACTTGACTGTAACAGATAGAGGCTATTTTTCCCCAACTCTGCTGATATTGAATTCTAGGTATTTAATGAGTACAAGAAAGTACCGTCATCCACATAACGGCAAGATAAGGTAAAGAATCAAAACTGCAAGATGAATGTAGATCTCCCAATGGATTTTGTTTGCTTGTTTTCAAGTTGTGGGGAAGGCAAGTAGGAATGGTCACTTGTCTCCCTTAATACTGCACACAAATAAAATGTAGATATAAAGGTAGACTTTATTTTTATTAGGGTTTTTTTGTTATTTGCCTCTTAAATGGTTCAGTTGTTGAAAGCAAATTTTTCTAGTATTGGTCTAACATTGTTTCATGCATGAAGGATGTACATATGAGTCAACACAAAAATAGGAAGAAGATTGCCCTGTATTCCCGCAGCTACTTTCATTTTCTGAAGCGACTCTTATATCCATCTGGAATGGTTCATGTGCTAATGGCTATTTATAAAATACTTTGAAACTATTATACAGCTACTTAGTGAAAAAACACTTACTTGTGGAAACAGAGGTCGTTCCTCCCTAACTTTCTTCAAACAATCTGCTACAAGCCTCTTCATTGCTTTGGGGCAGTTCTTGTACAGTTTACTGAGGTCTGGAGAAGCATACCCTCGGCCAACCATAAAAATAATCTGAAAAAGAAGAACAAAGAAGTAGCAAAAACACCAGAGTTGCAAAAGTTGTTTCACTGGTTGATGGGCTTTAGTGTCCCAAAGTGATTAAACATAAGCACCAAAGGCACGCGCACAGGCCGGGCCTTGTAGCTTTGTCCAAGCAAATTAACTGAAAGAACGGTCCTGCTTTTGTATAACACAGCACGTGATTCAATCTAAGTGACACTATGCGGCTTTTAAAATTCAGCAAGTGAATGTACTGTTGCATTCAGAATAGTGACAAACGATCCTCAACACAGATAGTTACTGGTTGCCAGCCAATTTGGCATGACAGCTCAATTTGTCAGCACAAGCGTATTTTCAGGCATCAGTAAAATACCTTGAGGGGACAGATGTATAGCTATCAAGTTGAAGGAGGTCATCAGAACTAATGCAGCATGAAGGGTGGTGTTTTTTTTTTTTTTTTTTGCTTAGGATAAGTATTTGGATTTTTTTTGGTTTGGTTTGCGTTTTTTTTGAGAATACAAAGTGATTTTTTTGTGTTGGAAAAATACATTCTCTGAGTCAAAGTTAACAGCGTTATCACTTAGTATTTTCATCAGACTTCCAGTTACCTTAATAGTTGACTACACCATACTGATAAGACTATTAAACTGGTAAAACAGTGCCTTTTTTTTGTTTGTTTGTTTGTTTTTAAAGAAAGAGGACTAGCTGTGCCATTGTTTCTCTTGCAACGTCTAAAGTCTCCAGAAAGAATCAATTCAACACCATCAGGTTGCTAAAATAAGGTCTTAATGTAGTTCTCCAGAAAATATTGTCCCTCCCAGAAAAAGTTATTTGAATGGCAAGTGTCACTTGTTTTGCAATTGTAATGATTATTAAAACGTGCATATAATTTCAATATTATGAACTAAAACATTAGTTTCCCAATTTGTAGACAATCTATAAAATAACAAAAACTAACTTAACAGAATTGGCCTCTCCTGCTTGGAACACAAACTGCAAAACATCCTAGGGGCTGAAGTCTAGTATTATTCCCCCCCCCCCCCCAAAAAACACACACACTGTTCATTATTAGATCTTCATATAAAAAAACAAAGCAAAACACCAAACACCCACTGAGGATCAACAAAGTAAGAGATCAAAAGGATCTACTGTAAGCCCATGCCCTGCAGAAGAAAAGCTTCAAAAATTAATTATTTCTACACTTGCTAGGCAAAAGCATTCAACTAAATAGAGCAGCTGAGGTTTCAATCCTTAATGTGCTTCTTTATAATTGTCTGTTAACTGACTTGGTAAGAATAAGACTTAGTAAAGAATGTAATTCACACAAACTAACACTCAGTGCTAAAAGGTCTGACAATAGTCATTGTTTTTTTCACTTATTCAAAAGCACATAATACAACTTTGCTTATCTAAGAGCCACATTCTTAACATCAAAAGGGAAATTTCATGTAACTACAAATACATAAAATAGCAGGATTTTACTGATTTAGCAAAAGCTTTAAGCCCTAAATAGATTAACAGAGCACTTGAGGTATTTTTAAAGAAGAAATTATTTTTCCCCTTAGTACTGTTGATTTTACAGTAAAACATTCCTTCATACAGATCTACTGCTGATATGATGCATGTTGTAAACAAAATTTCAATTCTTGGTTTGCATTTGTTTTCATCTTCTTGAAGAAAACAAGATGTACTATGATCAGAAATAATAGTCTGAGGAATAGTTTCTTACCTGATCTCGGTTGTTTATATGGGAGTATGGCAACTCTCCTGTCATTAGTTCATACAATACTATTCCATAGGAGTAGACATCTGACTGAAAACTAAATGGGTTACTATCCTGCATCCGTATCACTTCTGGTGCCTTTAGAAGAAAAAGAAACAAATTAAAAGCTAAATCAACAGAACCTGGAAAGTCAAGTGGCAAGAGGGGTAGAATGGAAAGCAAAGAGAGGGATCTCAACCAAAAACTAGTGAATGAAGTTAGGAAAAATGATTAATATTCTCATTTGCAATATGCACCGATTTTTCTTGCATCTTGCATACAACTGAGATCAATTCTCTCACCATCAGTTCTTAAACGGGGATAGATGTTAAAGGGAAAAAAAAAAATGCTTTCTTGATGAGAGCACTGCTCCTTGCTTACTTCAGCAAAGAAGTTCCAAAACGTTACCCCTGAGTCCAGCTGCAGACATAATGCAAATAGTGACTTTAATCAATAAATAAACCCTGAGTACACTCACACTAGTAAAATATATGTATGTTTTTGCCTAGACAACTACAACTTCATTACACGGTTATCAGAACTCAGATCTTTCCTCCAACGCAACTTTAAGTACTCCCAAATTTTCACGTATTATTTCAAACATTTAACAACGTCCAGTCTATTTGTTCATGAAAAATCCTTGAGAAGGCAAGTAATATGTCAATTATAATATAGACTTAATCTACTTAATCTCTACTAAAAATCAATAATGAAAACATTTACATGAAATATGAAAGTGAAATATGAAAAAATATATACAGTGAAGACTGGGGAAGAAATGCGGGAGCATTCTAGCATTTCTAGCATCTTTGCAAAACAAAGTAGAATTATGCCCTGAAACTGAAGAGAGAGAAAAAAAAAAAAAAAAAGTAAACCATCAAAATAGCTTTCCAATTGATTCCCTAAGATTTTTTTTTTCCCTTAAGTCCATTCCTCAATTACTCAAAAGGTTCTAATCGAAGTATCCTAGTACAATTATGAGAACAACAAAAACCTCCATAAAGGGTTGTATCAACTTTCAGGGAAACTGGATCGACATCTCTTTTCTGTGTAATGGAAACTCAAGCAAAGTTGGTCAATAAACGATTAAAGTGAAAAGCAACGTGAAAAGCAAAAATGTGAGGGTTTTTTTTTTCCAAGATTGTTTTATGTATATAGGCATAGTAATAAATAAGTTAGTTTTGAATACTTTTTGGAAAGGTGTATTTTTTTTTTTTTACACTGTTTCCAAGTTTGTTTTGGGTTATTTGTGTATTTTTATATGTCACAAACAAATCTTGGCCAAGCATCCCAGTATTCTTAATGAACACTTCCTGACTTTTGTCAAAATATGAATACTTAAGCAACAATGAAGGCTGCCAGCCTCATAATAAAAGAAATGTAAATATTAAAAAGGAAAACTGTTTTAAGTAACACTTTAAATTGTTTAAGTAACACCAGATCAGTGCTAAAAATCTAAGATTTAAATTGTACTATTAATTAGCATTCAGCAAGTCATTTTTATTTTGTTAAACTTCAGTGAAGTACAGGCTGCAAACGTACCTGGGAGCCAGAAAATATTGGTAATCAATCTACACGCTGAAACTAAGTAAACTGCAAAAAAGTATTAACAAAAATGGATCAAGTGAAAGTTCAGAAGAATATTTAATACCATAGTATTAAGTAAGAAATTTTTGCACGATTTTGATGATGAGTTTTAACCTGATAATGGGCAACTTTTTCATTACTCTGTTCAAGTCACCTATTTGAAAAGTTATTAAATAGATTTTCTGCAGATCGTTTTATGAAGGAAAACTGGAGAACTAGCTTTTAAATCCTGGCAGCAATTAATTTGTAAAGACAATTGTTGGGAATCTCCCCTCAAGCAAGGACTGTGCAGTAACATTACTAAAAAGAAAATTCCATCCACTTGTCAGTACAGTTTAAGAATGCCTGTACGCAAACTGATGTTCACCTGCAAGGGTTTTGAGATGCCTCAGAACTTACTGCAGCCATCTCAGTGGGCATAAAAGCAGTATCTTGGTGCGCATCAGGCATCATGTCACAGTACCAAAGATAAATTGCGCTCACCCCCTTGCTCCAAGCAGTACTCCCTATCCTTTCCCCAATCATGAGCCAGTGCCGCTGAACGTGTGTTCAGCAACTGTACGAGAAGGGACGTTGTCAAGTCCCCAGCAGGGAGCAGACGAAGAACAGGCCGTGATGCTCAACATAGTGAAAGACAGGCAATCCCACAAAGCCACCATAATCCAATTAAATCCTGCTCTGCAGCGAGACCAGCCTATTTGGGGAAAGGCAAGTTAACTTCTCTTCCCTCGGAGCAGCTCCTTGGAATTCTACCAGCAGCCCTGCCTCTGCCCTAAATCCTTACAATAACTCCTGAAGTTAAAGGAAGGCTCATTAGTTTCACATGGTGAATGGTGTCTACTTGGAGACAACTAAGCACTCCAGCACTTCATTTTTCAACTTCTCATTGCCCTACATCACTGGAATAAAAATCTACATAGTACTAACAGCATATATTAAGAGTCATTTTGATTTAAAACTTGGTCAAATGCAGTATGAGTTACAGTCTTCAACTGACAAAATACGTACTAACAAAAGAAAACTATTTAAAAGCAGTAAAATACTTTTCTCACCATCCACAAGATTGAACCAGTGGGCTGTTCCACCTGTTGAGATCCACTCCACCTGGATTTTACAGTCGCCAGACCAAAGTCTCCTATTTTCACTGTGAGGCCTTCATGAAGAAATATATCTAAACATTTTGTTAAAGAAATTCTGTAGAAAAGTAAACTGAATTTTCTGACTTGATTACAGAGCGGTCTGGTCAGGGTCATCACAAATACAAGTCAGCTATCCAAGATTATTACTTATTTTCTGTACCTGCTATGAATTGTATCTTAAACATAGAAAAAATAATTTTACAGCATCCATATTTGCAGAGTTAACACTCAAGACAAAACAAGACTAGATGTTTCAGCATTATTTGTACGTTTATCTTTAACACAGTTAATTTCTGTTCTACCTCACCAAAACGTCAATGACTCAGTCGGTTTTAAGTAAAAGACATCAAGAGACTCAAAATCAAAATAAAACCTGTTAACATGAAGCACTCTTGCACATCTTCTGAGATTTAATTAAGGGATCTCCTCAACTAGAATCACTCAAGCGTGTACTACTTGGTACTTCTACAAAGACTGACAGCTAGCACTTTGTTGGGGTTATTTTCAGAAGAATCACTTTACAATCATATTTAAGAATGTTTTAAGTTCCAAAAGATGAGTCAGATGGGTAAGCATGACAGACGAACACTTGCTTCTCATCAAGTATCATAATGTGAGGAGGAGTTTTACAAAAGTTATTACCATTATCAGGAATCAAACTCCTAAACACCTAGATACTGAACTCCTATATACTAACATGATTATTCTTATGACTTAGTTGAAAATGAGAAACTCCTTACAGAACTATTGAATTTGACGGATTATTTATAATGACCTTTGCAAAACATTCTGTTCACATTTCATGAAAGGAAATTTTAACTTATGTTGCTAGCTCGACAGATGTTCTGTTTAGCAGTTTCAAAAGCAGAAATTTTCAAAGGTGAAAGACATCAGTTCACAGCATTTTTATTCCATGTACATTTATTAGAAATAATACGTCTCTTTGTTAGAAATGTACTGGTAAAGCCTCAATTTTCCTGAGTTTAAATTAAGATTTTTGACTTCATTCTGCCAAAAATCATCTGAAGGCATTTTAAATAATTACAAATATGGGGAACAGTAACAAAAAAACACGTACGTGCATGCACATACATAAGCATGCACTTGCATACACCCCCAATTAAATAAAGAGTGCAGCTTCTACACAGTATTTGGTAATAGAAATACACTGCATAAACAGTATTAGCTTAAAATGGGCCACTTCTGAGGCACTACTGTTACACACCTTTATTTCATCTTTACAACAACAGTTAGGTAAGTAAGCATGCAAGTTCTACGAAAATCTTTGCTAAAAAGTGGCTTCTTATTCATCAGTAGGAATTACTCATCATATAATACATTGCATACATTTGAATCAGCTATTTCAACCCCACAAAAGCACTCCATATGAATAACCAATCACTCTCACATTAAAGGAAACATGATTAAATTAGAAAAGGATACTATTGGATTTCATGTCTCTGTGGATTATATTCTTCGCATGTAAATAGCTGTGGGGAAAGAAAAAAAAGGCAGAAAAGTGCCGTAACGAGGGTTGTTCATGTTCATGTTAGTTTTTTAATTTACTGATAGACACTGTCTCAGTTCATGATATACTCAACTGCATTTTCATACGTCTCTTGCTTTAGTCAATTTACAGGAGGAGCGTACTCTGGGGAAAAAGGGAAATGTTGCAAGCGCTAGCTGATTGCAAAGCTACTGCTCAACGCATTACAGAAAGAGGAAGCTACGTAACAAAGGAATGGCAGGAAGAGAGAGAGTAGCATTGTGGTTATGCAACTGAAAAATGCCCTGGAGAACTGGATTCTGTCCTGATACTCTCAACATTTGTATGCTATGCTAAGGGTCACTTTCCACACACTGCTTTCCAACTATGGAAAGCAGTTTTCCCACAAACTGCTTTCGTTCGCAGTACCAATATATGTTCCTAGTTTTTTGGGCGTCTGACTGGAGACCTGGGTTCCAATTTACAAAACGGACGAGCACTGACAGCTTCAGCAAACATGAGTGTCTTCTATGCTATGAATGTTATAGCATTAATAGTTCTGAAAGAAACTGAACGGTTACTATCTCAACTCAGGTGTCTAGAGAACGTTTCCAAAATATCTCTGTATGCATGAGCACTGTAGCTGTAAAACAGGCACAAACAGCCTTCCCTCACCTCACAGAAGTACTATGAGTGTAAACCAGCATCTGCCAAAACACTGCCAAGTTATAAGTACCACAGGAAAAACCCGCCCCCCAAAATTAGTAATTCTGTGTTTAGAAGAGAATCTCATCTAGTGTGTTCCAAAAAGACCTCAAGCTAGAATAAAAATAAAGTACAGAAAAGCTGATCTTTAAATATGTTACATTAGACTATTGGTCTAACATAAGCTAAGGCAAGAGTCCATACAAAAAATAGTACATGAAAGTAAGAACACATACAACAGTGCTGAATTAAGACTGCCCAAGATCTTTACTTTTTCATTGGAGTGCCTGACTTTACCATCTTAACTGTCTTTTAACATAGATCAGGGCTTCTGAAAGGTATATTCAAGCATTCGGACATTAACTCCTTACTCTGTATACTACTATATTGACACCTTCTCATGACCTATTATCCCTGTGCTGTCTGCCGGGCAATATCGATGAGCTGGAACATTTGGAACTTGGTCTCCTGAACATGCAGGTGTTTATACAGACTGCTTCCTTCACACCATTGTGTAACAATAGCCAGATTATCTTTAGTCATGTAGCCCATAAAGAGCAAAATATTAACATGCCGAGTCTTCCTAATAAATAATAGTAGAAAGAGAAATTAGTATCTTTATAAAAGACATTTTAAAGTTCTTCAAAACATCCATTCCCAACTAAAGGAACATGTTTCAGCTTTTGAGTCCAAAAATAAAAGTTTCCTGCAAAATGAATTATGAAATGGGTGGATACATGTGTAAAGTTTGTTTTTAATAACAACAAGAAAATACCACAATAGTTAATTACTATTTTTAAAATAAAGAGATCAGCTGATTGTCTGCTTTTAATACAAATATTTTTGTTTAGCTCCAATGAAGATATTTAAAACCAACCTACTATTACTGTTATTTTAAAAAAGAAAAACATGATGAAAATTCAGCCTTTTTGAAATCTCTAACTATCAAGATTTAAGTGATTAGGTTAACAGAAATCACCCTGAAAGCTGTGAAAAAGTGACAGCTGTAGATAGAAGATGAAAGCCTAATAGAAAACTGAAGGGTAATTGTATACAGTAAAGGAATTAACACGAGACAGTAATTTTTTTTATACTCTCACTGGTTCAGTTCAAGGATTCCATTTCAGCATTACAGACAGTTAACTGGATATTACAGAAATAGTATTTGGAAGCAGAAAATAGTTAGGGGGATCAGAGAATTACGCTACAATTTAAAAAGGCACAGTTCAAGTATTCTGTCTAGCAATGACAATTATGGCAGAATTTACTAATCTCCATCTTTAACTGCATGCCAAGTATGACCTGGAGGATTATGGAAGTTAGTATTATTTATCTGAAGACTTTGAGACACAGCGAAGAACCACTGAAATATTCTGAATTATTTATCTGTCTCTCAGTTCTACAACAGGATTCAAAAGTATCATTGTATGATCTCTTTTTTATTCTTTCTCTCTGGACATTTGCTTTTACTTCTGTGAGGCATAGCATATTGGACAAGATAGCTAAAAGGAGAAGTAGTCAAATGCAGTGCCTTTGAACATCAAAATTTAGCAAAGGCGCAACCAACCTTAATACAGCCACTTCATTTCTGAAAGCTTGGAACTGTTCTGGGGTTGGATCTACAACCTTTAATATCTTCACTGCAACGTCCCCTGAAAATACATTTACCATAAAAGTTACTAAAAAATTCAACTGTTTTGCAAAACAACATTAATGCACTATTTAAAATCCCTAATTTCTGCACAGTACATCCTTAGTAACTTGTATAGAGGTTAAGATTTTTCTGCAGACGTATAAACTTCTGCAGTACCAAGCAATGCATTTATGTAACTAAAGAAAAAGTCATTGTTCACATGTCTTCCTCTCGATTTTTTTTTTTTTTTTAAAACAGCTATCGGTGGCTAGATTTACACATATGCCTTTCACTGAAATTGAAGGTACTAAGATCTCAGTAACAGCAGTCAGTCGTTTAAGTGGAAGGTATTACCAGGAAACTGCATTCTCAGCACACTGTTTCAAGTACAAGTCACATCAGACTCTCTCGGCTTCCAATAATAAAACAGTTACCCAAATCTCATCATTTTCTATCCAGCTTTACCACTAAAACACCCTCCTGGACTGAAATACTAGCAAGTTGCAGGAATGAGAAGAAGAAACCTTTTATCAACGAATAGCCAAAAATAAACCCCCAATAATTTTAATATTTTAATAACAAATCTGGGAAATAAGGAAAATGAAATGTCTTACTGTTCTTTAAGCTGATACATTATAAAATTTTACCCAAAAAGCTTCATTTGAATTGCTTTCAGTGTCAATGCTTGCTTTAGATTTCAGTATCTGTTAAAGGGTAACACAGAGAGCAATGTATGGTGACTCAGTGCTATCTGTTTAGAGACTGTACAGAGTAAAGCTGCAAACAACTTTACAAAGCACACCCAAAAGACAGCAGATTCATACCTATTGGAAAAGGCACAATAGTGGAATGAAGCTGACTGAACAGAAGCAGAAGGCACTAACAGCAGTACCCACAAACTCCTTGGTGAAAGGAGAAAACACCACATTCATTTTTAACTAAGGACACACAGAACATTTTAAAATTCAAGAGCGCGATAAACTTGCCTTGACACCGTATCAGAAAGGTAAAAGGAGCTTAGAAAAACTGACTCTTTGATCTTAGTCCACATGCAAATAAAGCAACAGATCTGAGAGATGCTATACTCCAAAATAAGCTTATTCCATAGTTTAGAGGCTGCTGCCACTTAGAATTACGGAACCACCACCTATATTAATAAATCTCTAGTATGACAGACTTCTCTGCTGCTACAGTTGCCAATTATTTTCTCCTTAGATGGTCTCTTTTCAAAGATATATATGAAAACGTTAGGATGTCTCTCTAACACAATGATCAAGCGATAGAGCAGCAATACTAACCATTAAAAAAAAAAAAAGCACTGCAAAAAAAAAATACCCAACACTGTGGGGCAAACAGACTATGAAAAGGATCTGCAAATCAATAATTGAAAGTTTCAGAGAAAGTACCCTGAGTGAACTGCTGTATCGTCCAGTGCAGTTACCACAGTTGCTTTATTTGCTGTGTAATGTGAAGTCACAAAGATGCACAAATATTGAATATATTATTATACATTTATAGCCTTCTTCCTTTAGCTTCAGTAAGTGCAGTATTCTTGCTATTTCATTCCTTAGGATCTTCCTAAAGAGAACTATCTCACATTTTTAGTATGTTCTTCAACTTGCAGATCTCTCTACTCACACTAAAACAATGGAACATAATCAATAGAAAGGCTACGTTTTCACATGACTGCTGAAATTAGGCTTTAAAGTAGCCAATTCCTACCACAACTGTGTTGATGTACGATACAAGAGCAACAGATGATTTATCAGTACTGCAAAATTTTTTGTTTAGGAAGGGTTTGAAGTGAATTGCTATGAGTTATGCCAAGATAGGCAAAGATACAGCATTCACCAATTAAAGGCCAGATGTATTCAGATTATTTTTCAATGTATACTCCACTATGATATTTGCTCCATTGATTTAAGAGATGTTTTTAACCTAACACGTGAAAAATGCACTGTTTTTACTGAGTCAGGTGGTCACATTTTTGCAGGCTTGATGGCATTCCCCAAGCAGTTTTCTCCACAGAAATAAAAACACAACAGAACTTGGTTTTTAGGCGCAATCTGAAGACAATCATCTTCCACCACCCCCCAACCACCAAAAACCTAGAACTGATTACCAGGGTCAAGGGGGAAATGTGAATGTTTATGATAGGTAGTCTTCCAACCCATTTAAACTGCCTTGGTTCTTTTTCCTCCTTTTAAATTTAGAAGCATGCTACAGGACACTACAGGATCCAAATGGGGTCTGTAACAGAAGTGTTGCAAATATCAAAATTAGTACTTAACCATCAGAACAACCTGGAAAAATATGGAAGTGCAAGATACCTGTTCAACGAGACACGCACTCCTCAGAGTACGACTGTCCTTGACGCTACCAACTTCACCTTTACTTTGGAAGACTAAGTCAGGGAAGCTTATTAGAAACCTAGTATGTTTTGCCTACAGATAGTTGCACACAACCTCATTAACAGTCCTTCCACAAGTGCTCCGAAGTTTCTTTGCAAATAGCCCCCTCACAGCTGGGCATACTGGGAAACTTGACACCTCTAGCATAGTCTAGAATTTCTGCTCAAGTTTGCAGCAATCTGCCCACTTCAATTAATTCCATTTAGCTTCACTGAGACATTTTTATTGCTGCGTTTGTATTATCAGAAGGGGTTACTACAAAGAAATCTTTCTTCAGCTCTAAACAGAAAAGATTTGTGGGGAAAAAAAAAAAAAGACAACTTTAAATTCTTTAAGATCACCCAGCTATATGATGGTTAAATAAATAAAAAGCTCTCCTAGAAATTTCTCCTTCAGTAGAAAGTCATCAATGGGGAGGTGGGGGTAGGGGACATGGGTTCAGTTAAATACTTAAATCACTGACACTAATTTAGAATTTATAAAAGTCAGATTAGGCTGTTATCTTTTGATAATTTAACTTTGACCTTCCTGAGAAATTAGGAGAACTACAATTTCATTTATATCATGAAAATCAGTTTAACTATTTATCAGTATTACTTTTAGCATAAGAATAGTCCTTCCACTGATGCTGACAGGATTTGGGCTCTAAGACATACAAGTATTTGTGCTTTAAAAACAGAGGGTGGAAGAGGAGCCAAGTTTGCTGAATTTTGTTTAAACTTACATTGCAACAACAATGCTACTTACATTAGAGCCCCAGAGGCATGCGTATGCATGCTTTTGCCTAAATCAGAAGCCCTGAATTTGGGCCACAATTCTGTAATTCTGCGATGTGGCTCTTTTCAAACTATTCCAGCTAATTTTATCTATTAAATTCTCATATCAATCATTTTTTCCTTAGAAGTACTCCACAGCACAAGCAATTTATGCTCATTTTCTTTCATTGCCCCCATAAATATGGGTATGCTAATTAAATCACAGGTTATTAAAATAATAGTAATAATTTAACATCAAGCTTTGAAATTTCTGAGCCCAAATCCTATTAGTGAAAACTAAACATCTTTTTCAGAAAATAAGACGTTGCAGAACACTTATTAAAGAAAACGTCGGCTCCAATTTACCAAACGTGGAAATCTGTGGCAGCTGACAGATTCAAATTTTGATGTCTGCTCTGTCAAACCTTCTCTTTGCCTTCATTTTCCCCACTGCTAAAATTAGCGAATAAATATTTCTCACCTAGTAATTTCAGTTGTAGCTAAGTACAGAACACCATTAGAACAGTTTTACCTTTTTCTGGCTTGCTGTTTTTTTACAGTATCAATGTTTTCAAAAGACACTAACACTTGTTAAGTACTTACCATGCCATTTGCCTTTGTAAACCGTTCCAAAAGAACCTGACCCTATTCTGGTAGAAAGCATAACTTCACTTGCTTCTATTTCCCAATAATAACTGGAATCTCTTTGTCCACGAGGCCTCTGGAACAAAAATTAAATACTTAAAAGTACAGCTATGCCTATCAAATATATACGTTTAGTTGAACTCCTGTGTAAGTTTTACACCAAGAATGAAATAACTTCATGCAACCTTAAGATACAGTAAAACCTTGAAGGTTTTGTTCTGTAATCTGGGCTTGGGGGTGGGGGAGAGGGAGTGGGAGAATTGACAAGACACCAGGAGAGGAGGGAGAAATGTTAACTGATATTAAAGAAAATACTAAATATACATGCTCTTAATTTTTTCTTAAAGCTTTTTATCCCTAGAATATCACTTCATTATTTCCCAAAACTGACAATTTTTGCACACAAAAAAAGACAAAATATTTTCTTGGATGATATGAAACTATCGTTAAATTTTGTGCTAGAAACTTAACCCTCTGACCTTAGATTTTCAAATAAGACCAAGTAATTGAGGATTTTTATAATTAAGTATTTGAAGACATCTGAAATACTTAAAGAAACTTACTGATTTTGTTTTACATTTACAATACTCAAATTTGAGAAATCAGTTAAATATTTAAAAGCAATAAATCAAAAATTTATTAGTACAATTCTCAAATGTCTGTGATTTACCAGCTATGAGTCCCACTGAGCAATTACATTTCCATTTCTAAATTTTATAAGCCTTTGGGAAGGGAAACTCCAGACACTACTCACTTTTTTTTTTTGATTTTTTTTTTTTTTTTTTTTTAAAGTTCAAGTGAAGGCTTGCATTCTGTTAAATTTATTTTTCCCTGAGACATTTTGACCAGCTTTACTACCAAAATGAAGCTGACATTGTCAATATCCATTTCCTACAAAAGCTACAGCAATATAGTTCAATTATGGATACAAAGGCAATTTAAAAAATATCATGTTTAAAAAAAATAATAAAAAATGCAGCATCTAAAAATCTAGAAAAATAATGCTCAAATCTCTACTGGAAAATAATTTCAAATTAATGCCTGAAATTCATTTTCAACCCTACACTTTGGTCTGGGAATTCAAAATGCAAAGCAATTGAAGGCTTGCATTCTGTTAAATTTATTTTTCCCTGAGACATTTTGACCAGCTTTACTACCAAAATGAAGCTGACATTGTCAATATCCATTTCCTACAAAAGCTACAGCAATATAGTTCAATTATGGATACAAAGGCAATTTAAAAAATATCATGTTTAAAAAAAATAATAAAAAATGCAGCATCTAAAAATCTAGAAAAATAATGCTCAAATCTCTACTGGAAAATAATTTCAAATTAATGCCTGAAATTCATTTTCAACCCTACACTTTGGTCTGGGAATTCAAAATGCAAAGCAATAACGCTATCTTCCCTAAGTCAGTTAAAACTCTATACTTACTATATATATACAAAGTACAGAGTGCTCCAGTAAGTTTACCTTCAACTTTTATTGCCCTTTATATACAGAAATATTCCAAATTTAAACAACAAATACTACAGTACTTACAATTTTGTTTTTTTCTTGCGTATTAGATCCAGGGGCTCTCTCTCTTTGGGCTGGGACTGGGGTTTTGGGCTGAGACCAGCCAGTTGGACTCATATTGTTAGGACTTCCAGACAGAGCAGAGGGTGAGGCTTAAATATAAAATCAGCAGAAAAAGAAGTTATGAACCAAAAAATAAATACAAAATAATATTATACATTATTTTATTTTTGGAAACCATACCTGATTCACTGTGGCTTCGAATTGCATCCTAAAACAGAGAAGATCAATAAATTTAATAAATATATGAGATCATACAAAAGGAATGAGCAGGAATAGTTGCGCTGAAATAGTTCTTGACAGCTTTGGTCAAGTATCGTATAGTATTATTGACCAATGCCCTCCAAAAGATGGCTTGGTTATTTTCAAGTCACAAGAAACCTATTGCTAGAAAACATGCAATTTATGAAGTCTTACAATATATTTAACTATTTAAAGCATATTAAAAGGTATTTAAAAACAACCAAAAAAGACACAGAGAACAAGAAGAAACATCGGCAGTACTGTCTGCATTCCCACCATTGTATCATTGTACATGCTTGTATTTCAGATTTGAACATAGCTTCTGTGATGATCCTGCATCTCCAGGGGACAAATTTTCAAATACATTTCTGGGTTACAATAAGACGACTTTTAAGAGCCCCTAAAATATTCTAAAGTCAAATCCATACCATACTACTTGAACCCACAAAGGCTAAGTCTTGTGCCCTACTACAAAAACATCTGATTTTTCAAAATGTTTTTCTACAGATTAAAGTTTAGCAATACTTGAAGAAAAGCAAGTCCTTACACAGTTCACCAGTTGGTACAGTGCAACAACACTCACCTCATGCCACAGGCACTTTACAACACAATTCTACAGCCATGCACAAGATCAACTAAGCTCTGACAAACATAACTTTACAACTTTTCTCACCTGCTATGTATTATCCCAAAGTACATACAGGAAAGGTAAAATATCCAGGTACTGTATAAGTACAAAGCAAGAACATGCACTACAGAAATGTTAAATACTGTAAATGTTAATAGAAGTCAATTCAAACTTTCTAACTAATTAGTAGAACAATAAATTAAAGATTTCACAGGAGGACAGAACAAGCCTACATTCCACCATAAAGTTTGCCAAATAAACCAGATTATCCTTTATTATAAAGTTTCATTTATGAAATATATCATTTTAGCTAGTTAATTACATCCTCCCAGGCTTGAATCTAAATACTACAGTATTCGCCCAGAGTTCCTCTACTGTGTACCTGAGTGGATTAAAATCTTCATAAACTTGGAAGAACTCTTGCAAGTTACTAATTTTGTCCTTTTGGGGGGGGG